CCCCCCCCAGGATGCCTCGGCCCCCTGGGGGCCGTTTTCCCCTCCCCCCCCTTAGCCCCCCGCCCCCCCCCCCCCCCCCGCTTCCTCCCACCCCCCGCTTCCTCCCACTCAGCGGGAGCAGAAATGGTAGTGCCCGTGCTGGCCGCCCAGGTGGTCTCCTGTGCATGGCGCCGCCCAGGCCTTCGCATGGCTCCGGGATTAGCTCCAAAGCCCAAGGTCACCCAGCAAAGCAGGGTCACAGGGAAGTCACCTGAGCAGCAGGAGGGGGTGGCCCTCCCAGCCCTGACTCCTCTCCACTCTCCCTCCTCCGCTAACAAATCAGGTGCCAAGCTTCCCTTTGTGCCTCCTGCACTGCCCTCCTCTGGCTTCTCTCTGTAAATGCAGCCAAGCTGGTGCGGGCCCGAGGTTCACACCCACATCTCAACCTGCTTACTGTGTGTGTGTCCACCAAGGAAGGGCAGGTCAGGGAGGAGTCAAACCCAAGGGGGAGGGGGGGCGGTGGCACCGCCTGGCCAGGGTGTTCGTGATGAATGAACGGGGGTGGTGGGGGGGATGTTTCAATGACAGGCGCATTCCACATGGTGGAGGAGGAGAGTATGTGCAAAGGCCCGAAGGTGGCCCGGCAGGCGTGGGCCTGGAGAGCAAGTTGGACCAGGAGACATGGCAGCCCTAGGGAGCCAGCACCAATGTTGTAGGGAAAGGACCTGGGAGTGCCCCCAAGAGAAATCCTGGCATATGCCCCCAGCAGCTCCCCCAGGCATCCGGCCAAGACCCCCACGGTTAGAGCCACAGGAGCTGCCGCCCTGCTGGCCATTTGCGCACCCACCACCGGTGGTGTCCTCCACCCTTGGTTTTGTCCAGCTGGGCCAGGGCTCCCAGGTCCCGCTCCCACTCGCGGCCCATCGTCTCTCACGGAGCCTTTCATTGGTCCCTGGCGGACAGCGGGCAGCGGTCAGAGAAGGAAGCAGACTCAGAACCGATGTGGCTAGGAGTGTGGGCTTCGGGGCAAGAACCTCGGCTCTGATACAGACGGCTGCATAACCCCGGGCGCGTTGCCCTGTGGGCCTGTCTCCGCCTCTGTAAACTGAACATCTGCGTAAAGTGTGACGCCTAGCACATAGTCAGTGCTTCGTAAATGCCGGTTACAGCAATTGTCATCACAGGAGCGCTTCCTGGCCCCGGCCCCGGCCCCGGGACGGCTAGAGAGGGTGGTGGCGCGAGGCGGGGGCCCGGCGCTTGCCTGGCTTCGCTCTGGACCTGCTGGGTACCAGCAGATCCCGCTCTCTCTCCTGTAATGCCCTCATCTAGAGCGAGGAGACAATGACCGAAGGCCATCCAGAAGGTGATGGCTGCAGGCTCATGGGCGAGAGCATTTCCTCCCTCGCCGGCTTGGCTCTCGGGGCCTCTCACCCCCCTGCATGCTACCTCCTGTTTGCTCCTGCTGAGCCCGTAAAGCTGTCAGAGTGGGTTTATGGGCCTCAGGAGCAGCAGTGGCCACGGCCGCTGGCCTTTACGAGTTTACAAAGGGCTGGGCCCTCCCCCTGCCGAAGCGCGTCCGAGCTGGCTGGGCGCCCGGCCTGCGCTGTGTGACTGCCGCACACTTCCCCCGGCTGCCGTGGTCTCCTCTGTCGTAAACGAGAATTTGTTCCCAAGCG